ATTGAATTGAAACAACAATATTCATTCTGCTAAAACACTAATGACAGAATGCATCATGGAAAGGGCCGTCACATCACGTAGATTAAAGCGAATAAATGAGCAGGGTGTTGACCATGCAGCCGCAGTGCAAATATCTTGCATTGTCATACCATTATGCAAAGCAGTCAAAGATGCGATACCCCTGGTCGAGCGTGCCCTGAGGTTATCAGGAGGCTCTAAATCTGATGCTCTGTAAGCTTCAGAAATGGCCTCACACAGCCAGTGTGACAGGCGCTGGGTGGATAACGGGCGACCTGCAAATGCATCTCTATAATGCACAAAAAAATGTTGAGTTTGACGCATTGCGGCCGTGCATGCTATGTAGCACAACAACGCCCGCACAGGACAGAGAAGATGGAAAGATGCTTCTTCTTCTGATTTGTGTGTGTGTGTGGGGGGGAGGGGAACCCTCTAACGATATCGCTCTTGATTTAAAAGAGCTTGTGATGTTTTTAGGCATGAACGCTGGGTTAGGTGTCAGATCAGCTGAGCTGCCATCAGACTGAATTCTGAAACATGACGGAGTGACAGAGAGGGCAGATAAATCACTCACCCTCTTAGTGGATGTTAAAGCCAGCAGCAGGGTTGTTTTAAGAGACAAAGATTTAATTGGAACCTAATTTAGTGGCTCAAATGGAGCTTTGATCAGGGCTCACAGGACCAGTGTTAAATCCCACTGTGGAGCAAGTGGGCGTGAAACAGGCCTGCGTCTCTGTACACCTTTTAAAAAACGCTTCATCAGCGGATGATTAAAAGCGGTTCTGTCCCTGAAAACCTTCGTGACAGGAAGAGATGGCTGCAGTGTACGTTTTAATCGTGCTGAACGCCAGATTTCAGTCCATCAGCTGCTGCAGAAAGGACAACATGCCACCTAGTGGACATGATGTGGCCTCTACACCTTTCTCCGTACAGCAGCGCTGAAAAACTTTCCATTTTGATGTGTACAGCGCTGTGGTAGACGCAGCATGTGAATCCTGGATCGTACGCACTACACCTTGAGAGAGACCCATCCTCTAAGTGGATCTGCTCAGCGGCCAGACTCAAAGGTGCTGGCCTATTTCTGGGTAATTCCTGATCGCTCCTCTCGCCTGGAGGAGAGCGTCCTCCCTCCACGGCAGTTTCCACGGGCGCCCCGATAACAGGTGTCGTAGAACTGGGAGCCATGGTGCGTTCATGCACTCGGGAGCCACCAGGAGAGCTGTCAGTCCCTCCTCTTGAACTCGGTTTAGAAACCATGATATCAGAGGGAGTGGGGGAAATGTGTAAAGAAGCATTTTGGGCCACAGGCTGTGAGCAAACGTGTCCACCCCTAGCGGTGGTTCGTCCTGCGTGCTCAGTGAGAACCATAGTTGACATTGAGCGTTTTTTCGTGTTGCAAACAGGACCACAGCAGCTTGCTAAATTTCTGCCACATCTGAGCCATCAGATGAACCTTGTAAGTGTAGGACTGCCGCGGGTGCTGCGCTCAGGCTGCAGGCTCACATCCGTGCTGATGTGAGGTGGCGTGCACTGAAGGAAAGGTGCGCGCCCCCGAGCATGCGGAACCTTGTAGGTGTAGGACTGCCGCGGGTGCTGCGCTCAGGCTCAAATCCATGCTGATGTGAGCTGGTGTGCGCCAAGGGAAAAAGCGCACAGCTTGGGCTGAGAGCGAGGTTTCCTATTGGACTCGTTCTG